CAAGGACCATTTTCCAAGAAAATTTAGTGTGCACTGTCTAAACACACACGGTACAATCCACACAAAATGCGTAATCTGGTAGATTATCACAACTATGGCAGACATACATTTAAGTCTTCATTAAGCAAAGTACATGCAGTCAGTAGGGTATTTAAGCATATGTTTAGACAGACAGCAAGACAGCAATTAATGAACTACTGAACCATACACAGCACAATGAGAGAATATTTTTCCTGTTATTTCTTCAACTGTCCTGAATGCACATCTTTCATAAATAATGAATCAGACAGTTATTATCCGATTTTCTGAAGAGATTGCAATATTGAAAAACAGTCTTGCGTATTTTTCAAGGTTCATTTTGAAAAAGAAGCTTTAAGTACAAATCTAGACCCAATAAGTTGTGTGTTATATACAGTAAGATAGATCAAGCAGCATGTTCAGCGTGAAGAGAACCTGAGAGTACAGCAGATAACTTATGGCACGGAAACTGATCACTAGAGCAGACTGAACATTGTAAAACACAGCGTACGCATATTTATTTAGTGCTGAATTGCTGTCTGCTTCAACAATACGCCTTCTTAAGACTTATTTATGCACATTTGTGGAGGGTGGTTTTAATTCCCATAAATTTTGAAGAAAGGTTGTCTAGTACATAAGGTCTTATATTCACAGGTGACCAAAAGCATCTGTGACACAAAAACTCTTCTCTTTATTAAAAATAATATTATCTGTACAGTCAGTAACCATAATAAACCAATGATTTAGAAGATGTAGGAAAGACCCCACAATCTTTAAATAGCATTTCTAGAGAAGAACATATGTCACACGTCTAGGTTTCAGATAACAGATGATCTAAATGTCCACCTACTTATAGTCTGAAGATACTTCTAAACATATAGAAGTGCCAGAAAACAGCTTACTGTGGAAAATAACTTATACCTTAAATTTGTTATCCCTTTTGTACAAGCATAAATTGCTACATCAACAAAAATTAATGAACTATGTTCTCAAAGAAGACTAAAGAAAATGCTCAATTCATGTGGAATATTCACTATGATCATTTATTTATCTTCTGTCTTTAGTGCAATACTCCGACCCCTTTTCAGTACCATCCACTTGCTCTTGTCTATTGCGAGTCCTTAAGGAAGACACAACCCAAACATTAATGGAAAAAGAAAGCCCATCCATACTATGACACACATAGTCAACACTAGGTATCTTTCCTAACAGTAATGAATTCCCATTGCTGTTAAGTACCATTGATGCACAGTATGATGGAAAATCTTAGCACTTTTATGAATTAAAGGAATAGAAAAATTAATGGAGTGGAATGGATGTCCTGTAGGAGTCCTAGTTAATTTTTTACATTATCTCTGCTTAATTTTAACATTATCTTTGTTGTACATACATATATGTTTCTTTACTTTAGATATGTAAATGACTAATGATTTGAAAAGTCATTTAGAGTCAGCAGAAATTAAATTTGTGCCTTAAAAGAAGAATAGGCTCTTACTCTTTCTAATTGATTCATTAACCATGTGCACAATACTGTGGGCACAACTTTAATTGCATTAGATTCAGCTGAGTGTCTGTCTCACCCTTTCTTGTAGTGTTTACATTTTCTTCAACTTATGTAATTTGTGATTTGCTTATGTGTGCGTTATGCACTTGTGGAAGGACATTTCAGGTTCAGAAGGACATTATCTCCTTATCTCCTGTCACATTAAACTAGAACATCAACAACTTTGACTTTCTGTTTCTTGCCTGCCTCCCTGTTAGGGTGTTAAATTTCCAAGGTGGATGCCCAGGATACTAATATAATGCATGTTTAACTAAAAAAAAAAAAAAAAAATCAAACCAAAGCAAACCAACAAACTTTCACCCACACTTAAAAAACAAACAAAAAAAAGGATTTCTACAAGCCAGGAAGTCACACTTCCCCACCACAAAATACCAAGAAAATTAATAGTTCTTTGCCTCATTTTCTCAACCACTCTGATGCTTTCAGCCACTTCTTACTCATGGCCATGTCTCTACTGGAGGTAGACACCTGAGCTATACTTAGCCTATAAAAAGACAGCAGTACTGCTGCTTCCTAAATGCTCAGCTAGGTCAGAACATTAGCAGATATAAGCTTTTACACTTCCTGAGAAGTGTCACTTCCATTGAAACTCTTCTACATGCTAGAAAATATTTAAATAATCGTTGAACCATGGAGAATGGGGAAACAGCTCTGCAGCCAATGAAGCAGCATACTTGGAAGACCTTCAGTCTGCTCCTTGCATCAGTATCTAAGTATAACATAATCCCTGTGCTCTTTGCAAATTGTTTTTTTCACAGCTGAACTTTTATTAGAATTAAGCAACTTTCTTTTTCTCATTTACAAACCAAATGGACCATCCCAGGCCTTTTCCATTTATTTCTGGTAAGCACAAATCTCAACAGGATTGCTTGTGCTACTCAGCAGCTTTCCAGGACAATAAACACAGAACAAGATGTTTCTAAGACAAAACAATTTTTTGTTGGTTTTTTTTTGTTTGTTTTTTTTTTTTTTACAAAATAACTTTCCAAATGTTAAGAAGACCACAATCCTATACTAATCATCTATTGCAAAACATTCAAAGGTCCATTCTAAGTCCTAAATAGGATATTTATCTTTAAAGTACATCTGTCTTCTAAATTGTGTCACATGCAGCTACAATGGACTTGAAGGAGGAATAAATATAGAAACAAGTCCACATTTTCATTTCAGAAACTCAGTTAAGCCAGAAGCTAGAAAGAAATTTTTGAAAAACTTTTACACAATTCTTCCTTATTATGAGCACCCATTTTACCAAATAAATAGTTTTGTGTGAGTAAAAATGAGAGAAGACAGGAATCTGGCCACGTGTTTTCACCTACTATATAAAACCCAGAAATAGTAAAAAATAACGTATGGAACAATGTTACCTCTTTGTAATCTTACACTGTTTTGGTGCCTGAGACAAGGAAGTAACCGGTACTTTCTGAAATGTAATGAATCAATCTCCTAAATTCATTCAGGAATGCATTGTCTTGTACAAACATAGAATCAAAACGCTAAAGCTTGAGACAGAGAGACATTTTTTTTCTAGAAAACAAGTGAAATGGAATGAGCCATGTGTGCAAGGGATTTGATGTTACAATGTTTTGATCTCACTGGAGGTTTTGCCTAATTATAATAAGTATGTAAAATTGTAGTTTGTATCTGTTAACCTCCTATCATATATTTTAATTTGGGGAGTGATATTCCTTGTCTCTATTATCTTTTTCTTTCTCAAAACTTTTCACATGTCTGTAAAATCAAATACTTGTGTTTGTCAGTTCACATATCCATAAATACCCAAAAGAAGCAGAAACTCTTGCTCATCTTGTGTAAACATGTATCATAAATGGGGAAAAGAGGAACTGTCCTGACAATTCAGTGGTTTCAAAATTTAATGTTTTTCCTCTCAGAAGAAATTCCTGTTTTATTGACTTCCTGAGATGCTTATGGGGGCTGAAGCACCAGTGATATAGACTGCTACACTCTGGGCTTCAGACCCAAGAGGATTTTTGTTGGCTGAAATGAGACTTTCTCTGCAAAATATTCCACAAGGAATCACTGTTGGCTAAGATAAACCTGGAGATGCTCTCTAAAAACACTGTGCCAACATGACTTGACAAATGTCTTGAGGTTTCAGATGCTAATAGTCAAAAAATATTGAAAGGAATTATTACTGAAGCAAGAAATTTTAATTGTTTGTGTTATTGACAGGTTTTTGTGACATCTGAGTCACTCAAGAGTATTGATTTTGCAGAAAAAATATCTGGTAACAGGAATATAAAATATTACTCCTACTGAGGAAGTAAAAAATAACTCTGACAGGAAGATGCATTATGTTATTTCTTAACATGTGCACAGTTTCTGAAACACAAATTCCTGGTAGAATACATAAACATTAAAAAATAAAATAAATAAAAAAAACCTGCTTCTCTGTTTTTGAAGAATAAATATTCTGTAAGATAATATTAGTCAGCTTTAAAGATCTTTAATTGTTTGAATGCTTTTTTAAAAGAGATAAAAACATATAAAAAGACTGTGTATAATATCTAGTCCACTTGCAGCAGTCAATCCCAAAAGATATCATTAAGACCAAAATTCAGACTTTAAAAATAGATTAAAAATTGAAGGTTTATATAGCTGGTAATACAAATTTTAAAAGGGTAGGGGGGACGGGTGAAAATGTGAGAGATCAATTTTCAAGGGAATATATAGAAGTTAAGTGTTTAATTCTCCCTAAAATCTGAGCTCCAGGTTTATATATATTTTATACAGACAGACATTAAAACTATGAAAACCCTTACAAAATTGGAAATTAAACACTCTGGAAATTAAATGACATTTTGACATGGTGTACTATGCATAGATAATCTACAGCATAAAGACCATATCAAGAATGACCTTTATGAATTCAGAAAAAGAATTAGAGTTACCACCTCTCAAACACCAAGAAAACCAAGTAGGATGAAATTATTTCAATTATTTTTTCCTACTTCTTATCATCTCTATTCACAATTACTGATTTGAGATTATCTAGAGGATAGCTTCATCTATTTTTACATCTGTATGTAAGATTTACAAAGATTCATAAGAGAAAATTCCTATGAAGAGGCAGAAAAAATGGACCTAAGTTTTCTGCTAAACCAATCATATTTGCGAACAGCAAACAGCTCACACTTACTTTGAAGTGTAAATATGTACTCATAATTACACTTTTAATAATTCATTTACATTCAGATCTGAAACATGAAACCCATTTATATATGATAAAGAGGGAGGGCAGGAGGGAAGAGACAGGCTGGAAAGTCTGGGAATTGTAGCTGGATGACTGCTTTTGTCGGCAGGGAAGGTGAATACTAATGTGTAGCAAACTTTTGTCTCCTAGGACATTTAGTCGACAAGCCATTCCAACACCATTTTTGCCAAAGAGGTACATTACCTGCTTTGTGGTTTCCTTGCAGTGAAGTTATCATGCGTGACTCGGAATCCGATGGGTTGAAGCTCTTCACCATGGCTGACAAATCTAGTATAAAAAAAGAAATATTATCCTACTCCCCTTCCCAAAATCACTCTTTGTTTCAAGGAAACAAGTGGAGTGATTAGAATTTTTTAGCTCTTTTCTGAGATCACAAAACAAAGGTAAATCCATACTAATGCTTTTCAATATGTGTATGGATTGGGTCTGTTTATCAGGACTTGTGACCTCTATCTTGCATTTTTAGATGCTGAATACACAAAAACCCACCCACTGACCCAGTTAGATGGTTAGAGTCTATGTGAGATCATCCATGACATTTTCAAGGGGTCTGAAGAAGAGGTGTTCAGTTCTTGTGATGATAAACTTCAACTGAAAAATTATCAGATTCAATATCATACACTGATCTACTAGCATCAGTCTCTCAAGTTGCATCATGACAGTCAAAAATAATATGCATTTTCATGAAAATTGTGCTCTCTGAAAGCAAGCCTTTTAGGTCTGCCTTCAGTATAAGAAGTATTTAATTTGCATATTCTCATTTCAGTTCGCAAGAGATAATCATGTACTTATGACCCTGAAAAAGACAAATAAAAAGATGTAGAAGTTCAGGAAGGATCACCTCCAGTTAGAGATTACACCTTTGAACACTTCAAAATGAATTGTAACTATGTTTTAAATCATCCTGTCATCCCTCTGGTATTAATACAGGTTTAGCTACTCAGGGTGTCTTTTTTATGAATGCTTTCAAGTTTTGCTTTGATTTGAGGAGCAACACAAATATTTCCTCATTATTCACTGTTCTTTCTATTCCTGAGATGTCGGAAATTTTATTCTTGTCTTAAATACCTTTGAAGACAGATTCTCTTGAGCGTCAGAAATGAGGCAGACTAGAAGAGCAAGCAAGCATTGACAAAGGAAATTTTCCTTTTTGCTACCTATTTGATAAGTGTTTACTGCAACTTCTGTGTGTTTCATGTTTTTTGCCCTACCACGTAAGCATGACTCCCCCAGTTAAAAACAATATAATGTTCATTTGGCCCACCCCTCCTGTGTTACGTGTGGCTTGTGCTATCATTCAAACAGAACAAGGAACAAACCCTGTGCCAGCTGGGGAAAGCGTGCTCACTGCTCTTGAGCAAAGGCTGAGAGCATTGACTTGAAATTATAGAACAGCTGAGCTTGAGGAAGAAAGAAGCAGAACACTGAAGCCTTGGCTTTACACATCTGAGTAGTCTAAGTGACTTGAGAGGTTTTGGTGGATTGAGAGGCTTTTATTGCTTCTACAATCAGAAGGCTTAGATCTACTAATAATGCATAGCACAATGTCAGTGAGGCTCACCCAGTAATTCCTGCACGAGGCATGAAATGCCAAGCCTTGGGTGAACAATGCAAGTTTACATTCTTTTACTGCAAAGACCTCGCTTCCAATCTAAACTTAGAGTGCTTATGCTTCACTCTCCAGAGGTTCCATTTCTTGGTATGTTAGAAAGCCATGAATTATTAGACAATTCTTTTTATCACTTTGACTTTATTTTAGATGGATAGAAAAGAGCTTTTTAACTCTTTCTAGAATTCAAAACTTTCTGTTACTGCTCATGTACACACTTAAACGGATGCTATGTTTTCATCACAGATAGAGCAGGTCATGACAGAATATCAGAAGCCTGTAGAATTTAACATTTTAACAAGTGCCTGAAAGGCTTTTTTAGAAGTATTTTATCAATTAATGAGGGCCATAATGTTTCAAACTGTGCTTTCTCTGACCACAAGAAATTGTAATGTGATCTGGCAAGTTTTATGAAAAAGGAATCTGCACATCATTCAAATACAAATATCAACTGATATTCATGCTTGTAGAATGCTAAACTGGGTTTTACAGAAATGACCATGAAATTAGGGAGATGTTTGAAAAGTAAATTCATTCTTCAACTGAAAATGAGTGTTCCCAAATACTTGTCTGTTATATTTATGCAGCATTACTCATTACTACCCAATTTTAATTCAGCAGTAGATTGCATCTTGATGTGATGTTATCTTGTTCAATTCAAGTCTTATCTAAGCAGTTTTGCTCTTCTGTTTTATTGCAAAGTTTTTGACTATGTCACATAAAATGGAGAAATCTGTTATATGTTAAATATTGGAGAATAAATAACTTCTTCAACACACAATTGCAGATGTCCTAGGTGGACATGCGTTGTCTTCTGGTTTACTCCCCACTTCCACCATTTAGGCAACAATGTTTCATTTGGAAAACACTTCTCTCCTTTTTATATGTGCCACTGCAGCACTACGTGCCATCAAAACTAACAGCTCACTTTTGGGAATTACATCAAAACATTTACATCTATATCAGCCTCACTTTGGAGATTCATTTCTATTTATCAAAGTATTTGTTATTTTAATATACAGTTTAGTATTTTAAGCATCAGTCAGTTTCCTATATATTCATTATAAAATAAAGACAGTTCTAAAACACAAGCAGTGCCAAGAGCAAAATTTCATTTTCCTAAAAGCTGAAAGTTTTGAGTTGCAAAATTCTGTGGTGAAGACAGAGTAGGAGGAGAGCTGAGAGAGGTGAGTAAAGTGTGAGGGAAGAGGAGGAGGACATGGGGAAAGCATATGGGAAGGGCTTTTCTCTCCTTTAACATTTCTTGTGTCTTCCTATCACCACAGTTCCTGACAAAAGTAAAACCTGCTGTTGTCACTGCTGGGGGAAGAACAGTGGGCTAGATAGACCTTCAGTCCCACATAATAGAGTGTTTATCAGGTTCTCACTATTTTCTCACTAGAAATTAAAAAAAGAAATCTTTTCTGGTAAGCACAGTAAAACACTGAGAAATGTATACACTTAAACACACATTTTACTTAGACAAGTGTCATGCTCAAAGACAGAGAGCAAACCACAACTAACAAAAGTTAAATTATCAATCAAAGCTGGTGATTTACTCAAATACCAACCTATTGCCACTACCAGATTTTAACCACATAAACCATGCTCCCATGTCTGTAGTTACCTCTGATCTCCAACTCAGGACTATAATGACTGAAAAAACAGATTAAGTAAAATCAGAGGAAAATCAATAACTGGAAAATCCTAAACTGGAATTAGCAAGATTCAGGATATCAGTCCCCAAGAGAACACTGTAGATTTTACTTGAACCTTCTCCAATTTTCATTATTATTCCCAGCTAGTGCACAAGAATTGGCTAAAGTATGCCAATAGTAATTATGGCAGCAAAATACACAAATATAAAATAGGCATTAGTCCTCTCAAGTGTAGTATGGAAGGAAGGCCTGTGGTCTCAGTTTCAGGTTCCCTGCCTAGAAAACACTGCTCAGATTCCTGCTCTTTACAAACGCCTTTCTATTTGATGACAATAAAATATTCTATTTAGTTATGCCAACTAATAAAAGAATCCAGATGGTTTTGTGCCAGGGACATGTCTTTCTTATTGCTAATTCACAAACTACTGTATCACTTTCAAAGTTTGTCACCTATGATTTGATGTTCCCCTTCCAAGCCATGGATACTAATAACACATAGACAATGAACAATTACTTTTTTCTCTCTCTGAAAATACAGCAACTGAGTTTGTGGTGTATTTTTCAGACTTACTACCTTGCTCTTTAAAGTGTGCTATATGGATTTTGTGTTATTTTTCTCTCTAAATTAAAAAGTAATATTATACTATACTAGTACTGCTGTGAAAATTCTTTACTCTTAAAAAGTTTCTCAAAGATCTGTCATTGAGGGGGTTTTATTCCTTCCTTTTATCCATTTTCTCTTAAGTAGTTGTATTACAATAAAAGCTGTAATTTTCCTTTTTTCTTGGTTGGTTATCAATTTGCTTCCACTTCTACTCTTAAACAATATATAGTTTTAAAAATATGAATGTTTTCAACTTTTTCCTTTATATAATAAAATAGTTTTAATGTGACTCCCAGAAACATTTTGCATTTTCCCTTCTGTTATTTTTTCTCTATAAAACTTAGATCACAGGGTTTTTTCCATAATGAAATCATTCCTAACAAAAATTTTTTCTTACACCTTGGACTGCCTCTTTTGATTGATGAATATGTAACCTATAATTTTTAGAAATTCTAGCAATATTTAAATATTGGTAAACATTTTAGCAAGCCTCTCTGATTAAAGTCCCCTAGGATAATGAAGGTGTGCCATTTGTTTTTTTTTCCCAAAATAACAAATATGTCCTTAGGAAATCAGTCATCATCTTTCAGCCTCATACAGAAAGAGACTTCTTGCATAAAATGTCTCCTGATTCTTTTCATCTACTGACACAGCCCATCTTCATTAATGTCTGGTTCCTCATATACATGCTCACAGCTGAGTAATTTCTCAGGCTTTGGATTACAGTCGTTCCAAGAATTCCACCAATCAATTATTTGAGTTATGAATTAATCCCTGTGTCAAAATTTTGAACTAGATCTTCATCTTTCACTTTTGTGTTGTGTTTTAATATCTTCTATCTCCACAAAGCACTTCAATATGAAACAACAGCTGGCAAAAAGAAGGCCCTGGGCAATAAAACAGTGCCACTTCTTTTTAATGCAGTTTAAGCAATGTTTTGCAGTCTTCCCATGTGATAATGGACTTCTCATTGAGTTTGCCCAGTACACTAAGCCCATACTCCGCTTTCTCTCAACTCATGTGTCATTTCATGATTGCCAGTTGTATTAACTGTGCTTGGTTCCTGTTGGCTTTTTCTTTTTTTTGGTAGGATGCCTACACAGTGCAATACTAAAAGCTCAAAAAGCATCAGAAACCGTGCTAATGGAATCTAAGTAGACTCTTAAAACCATTTTTTCTTCAGTTAATTTTCTCCAAAAGTAGCTTTCCTTGCTTTCATATTTGTTCTGTAGCTGAAAGTTTAACCTTTTCACACCATGGCCTATACATTCATTTTCACTGCCCAAATCAGCCTATTTTTACCTTTCTGAATTGATCCAACCAAAACCAAACTTGCTTAGCAGTTGCACTCTATCCTGTAAAGTCTGTGCAATCAGAGTGGCAGTTTTCAACCAAA